TATATATATATATATATATATATATATATAAGGTGTCTTTCGTTAATTATCAAGTGTTATAGTACAACCTTTATACAGTGAAAAGGTGTCAAATTAATATCATTATAAGCTAAACTAGCACAAATGTATTCATCACACTCTCCAGTGATGCATAATAAAGCTTAAAAACTCTACAATTTTTTTTTTTTTTTTTCAGTACTTAGTGACTAAAAATACATGTTTATGTTCTTGTATGACTTTGATAATGAGAAAGGGAGCATAGGAATGTAATGTATGACACTGCATGTAATAATGTAAGTTTTATATGCCACGCTATCTAACATCTTTTTTTGTCACTGACACTGGAAATATCTGGAATCTAATGTAGGAATTGCAAACAAAATACAACATAAATACAGAAGTAAACATTAATTAGCTTTTTTAAATTAGTGTTGAAGACATGGACCCATTCACATTGTTATTGTATGGTTTGTGTGAATGAAAATTAAACGGGAGTTCAATCCCAAGGAAAGTATCCATCTGATGAAAGACTATATCTAGAGGTTGGTAGTGACTATTTACACTTACTTAGTTACATTTACGTACTTGAGTAATATTTTGAAAAAAATATATAGTTATAGAGTATTTTAATTTATCATAATTCTTACTTTTACTTGACTAAAATACTTGTGAAGTATCACTAATCCTAAATAAGTAGCCTAAAATTTATGGCTTCTCTGTCCACTATGAGTAAGTTGAGATTCAAAGATCTGCTGAATATACAATAAACAGTTGTCAATAGAAGTTCTTTACCCTGCTCTAATATAAGTAAATTATTCACAGTATAGTTAGACTTTATACATGTTCTGTTAAAAAATATATTGATTTGGAAAAATAATCCTGCTGAAGGAGTTGTTGTTCTGTAATCATGTGATTTCTTTGTATTTTTTATTGCAATTTAGTATTTAGATAGCAGGTCTTACACCTAACATCTACCCGACTTAAAATCCTGACTAAAAATCAGATAGGATAATAACCAGGTACTTTGTTCTTCAGCTATTTCTTTAGCAAATATTTGTTTTTATCATTTACTTGAGTCATTTCTTGAATAACTATTTTTTTTACTTTTACTCTATTACATTAAAGTAGTACTACTCTTACTTCAGAAAATATTTTTGGTATTATACCCACCTCTTACTATATCCTAAGAAATACACTTCAGTGGTGTGGTAATTCAATTACCCATTTTCCAGCATAGTTAAAGAACAGATGGAAGCTACCTATGTGCATTATGAAAAAAAATATTGTCTCTATTTTATATTTTCAGTCAACATGCTATATAAAACAACAGAGCCTACCCAGACATTTCCCAGCAAGTAATTGTTGAAAAGGTAAACATATCAAGAATTGGCATTTTACTGTTTGAATATTGTCAGAAAATATTTTATTATATAACATATATATATAATATATATAAATATAAAACTATTTGTTATAAAAGCTGTTCTTACTGAAGAAAATAAAATTTTGTTTTTTGTCACTTACCTCCCAATTGTGGCAGACCCGCCTTCAGTGACAAAGAGTGCTATATTTTTGTGCTAGAGTTACTCGTGGTGATTATTACGGCCACAATGAAACACACCCATACAAAAACCTTGGAGGAATAGAAATAGATTTCCTATATCTAAATTTACTTCTGAATATCTGCTCACTAATTTCCAACCTTATTATGATTCCGGACAATATCCCTGCTTTTCATTTATAATCACTGCTTTAAAACATCCAAAAAAATTCGACTAGTTATAGGAAAGCTTTACATTTTCTCAGATTGATAAGCAGTTTAAAAATAAAAAAAAAATTAGGAAAACCAACTATTTTCTCACAGATGTAAAATGTAATAGGGAGTCAGTAAGAAATATGCAAGAGAACTACAAAAGAAATACAGTGAATAAGTACAGCAAAATATTACAGTAATTGTACGACTTGGAAAAAAAACCCCACATGTACTAGTTTTGTAATATATTAGAACTTCAAGAACTTCAATGGTTTAACAATTCAATAATGAATAAACTGGGGAAGTTACAGACATGACGAACAGAAGCCAGAACAGGAACAACAAAATAATCAAGCAAGAAAATAAAGAAAGAAGCAAGTTAAAATACTCTAAAGGTATACATGCAACATTGGGAACAGGTAAATGCAGTCAAATGAATGAAGGTAGCTAAGTGGTAAGCAAGGCTGTATGACTAATTAGAACAGACACATTAGAGCATAAAAAAATTCCTGTTCCTATATTACTATAGGCAAAGTAAATAAACAAAGTTCAAATATAGAGCATTGTAATTTCACCAAACACAACATAAGAGCAATGCTGCAGACTGTTGAAAATATGATTTATTTCTCTTTATAGGGTATAACCAAAATCAGTTAACATAGACTATCAGAAAAAAACTGTAGCGAAACCACCATGAATAAAGAAAATAAACAAATACAAATACTGTAATATCAGCACAGTTTAATAGTACTGGAAAGTTAAAAAAAACAAGTACTGGAGAGTAAGAAAACACAAAATAAATCCTGAATAATATATATACTTCAGATTTCTTTTCTTAGCTGGATCTGGGCGGATCATTTCATTTAATAATTTCATTTCACGGGCAAGGAAACGCAGGTAGAACCATCCTGATCCATCCTTGCACAGCTGCAGCATTGATTAGGTCAAAAGCCTCCTCCATAGCCTGAAATGGAGAATATGTTAAAAAGTAGAGTACTGTAAACTGTGGATGTTAACCAGTCCTGCACCAGAGCACAGCGGTGGAGTTACATACTGTCCCATAAGACAATGCATTTTCATCTGGAACAATATGTGTTATAGATATTATACAGTGAATGAAGATGTAAAAACAACAACCTGATATTTAACATCACAACATTCTGATACTGCATCTGTTTGATCTCTCCGAATTCTGCTCAAAACGCACCTTAGAAAGTTGTTTTATATTAACTTCATATCTTTCTAGCATGCATGCTAATGTTATCAGACAGATCTCAGGGGCATTATTGAAGATGTAATTGTCACCAGTAATATTGGGCTGAAGGTCGCTGAGCCTGACGGCATAACTGCCAAAAAGGTTGATATGGTGCATATAGCGCAATAAGCCTTGGATTACTTTGACTATAACTTCATGTCAAATTCTCTTTATGACAGATGCCAATCTAGAAAGATTTTGCTTAACTGTTAGTCCAGACTCTCTCAACGTCATTCCATGATTTATGACATCACAAAGATCAACTAGCATTGCATAAATTTATTTTACAAGTTTGGTGTTCGGCGA